TCTCTCTCTCTCTCTCTCTCTCTCTCTCTCTCTCTCTCTCTCTCTCTCTCTCTCTCTCTCTCTCTCTCTCCACTTTGTTCCAACTATCCTTGGGAATGTCCTATGGTTGCGGTTGGTAGTCTGAACGTGCACACAAGTAGAAGGCTCCTTTCTCTTCTTTAATATGATGGACGATCACCACTGACAGGCTGCATGGCTGGCAGGACTTATTGCTTCCTCTCTACGACAAGGCAATATGCCCTCTCTTTCATATCCACATCCCTGGGGAAAGCTTGGAGAGGGGACTCCTTGTATCAGGTATGACTGCTGTTTCCCCCGAGCAATTGTCCAGCGAAGAGATCTGTACCGTGCCTCGTGAAGCAAGAACTCAGAGAAACCCTTCTTCTATGCACCGAAGGACATCTCTGTGAACTGCCGTCACACGTTCTTTGCGTTTCTGCCCACTTGCCCTGCAAGCGACTCGCTGGCATGATGATATGAGATGTCGTCTTGGCTCCGGATATTGTTTGAGGCAGACATTTGCAGTGGGTTGAGGGGTCCATAGAATGTAGCTCACTCACAGGCTGCCATCTCTGCTCGATGGAACATCAGCAAGTGTGAATATCGGAGGAAGGATTCTCTCTGCGTTGGCGTGCGTCCACAATAAAGAAGAGATGTTGGAGGGGGCGTGTATGCAACAGCATGCATGTGAGTGGTGCTCCATTGGACATTCAGTCGGGATTTGGTAAGATGAAGGCAACAGGAAGGAAGAGGCGTGAGTTCTTTCAGCCTGAAGAAGCCTGAGGATAATGGATGGAGCCGACACAAAAGCTGTCTGGGATGAGATGACCATGTCTGGGAGGAGATGACCATGGTGTGAACCCGCTGCGAAAAAGGGTATAGTCTCTGCTTCCGATAGAAGTGCCGAGCACAAAGTCGTACACTATCTAGTCTGCCGTCCTTGCCCGAGTTTCCTTCTTGGCGGGAGCAACAGCCTGGAGCCTGTTGGTTCGGTGCATATAGTCACGATCTGCTGTGCGGTATGGTTGGACCCTTTGCCGCCAACCTGTGGGAGTAAATGTCTTGTCGATGTGTCAGAGTCAACCGACCGTCCAATCTGCCGAAATGATTTGCGAATTTTGTTCACGTTACATCTGTCGATCCTTGTTGGTTGTAATTGTATGAACCCCATCTTGCTTGGGGAGGAGGTAAGGCGAAAATGGATTTCGATTTCGATTCTCGAATAGTCCACGGGGTGTGGAGAATCAACTCTACTCCGGAAGGAGTGAGAGATGATATGATATGAAGGAGTGAGAGATGATATGATATGGAGGTGTTCCTCTTGACGAAATGAAATGCGTGGACTCGGTTATATTGGTAGCGGAGTGTGCGACCGTCGTCACACGTGCTTTCGTCGTATGCATGTGGATGTTGTGGAATATGCAGTGGATATGGAAAAGGGGCAGAAAGGACGAGGTGTGTAATTATTGTATGGCCACTATTGCAGGGCTAGTCTAAGCATCGTTTGCGCCTTTTAGCGTTCTTATTGCTGTTTATGCTGGTTGCATTGTCGTTTATCGGCTTTTGTCTGATCGACAAGAATGTCTCACTGGCAAGGAGTGCCGCAAGAGTGCCCACACATCGGTTCCCCACTCGAATCGACTCAGATTTTGGCCTTCTGCACCGAGGGTCCCAGAATCGTAGGGTCAGTCAGTCTCAGTTGGTAAAATCGTACGCAGCAAGATGTATTTTGCACGTGTTCGTGTATTGTCTTGACCAAGACAGTTTTTCGCTTTCAACAGGTTTTCAGTTGGTTTTTATGTCTCTTTTCATACATGTTTGTATTTTGCAGCAAGGTGTATCTCGGGTACAACATGGCAGCAGCTGGTGATCCCCCGCGTCTGCTTGCTCGCGTACACTTGCAGGCTTTTGGCCCTCTTCTTCAGCAGATGGGAAGAAAAAGTGTAGTTGCTTGGCAAGTTTTCTATGATGGCAGTGTCATTCATTTGCTAGGAGTGGGATGGGACCCATGTCGTGCCACGGCTCGTCAAGTCATATGGGGGTAGAAGAATCTTCGACACGTGCACACTGTCTGTCTTCCCAGGCAGCAGAAGGCATGCAGGATAGACCAATCAGCAGGGCATTGCGGCTCTGGTTGGTCTTTCCTGCATGTCTTCTGCTGTCTGGGAAGAAAGACTGTGCACATGTCGAAGATTCTTCTATCCCCATGACTTCACGAGCCGTGGCGCGACTCGTGTCCCATCCTGTGATTGTTGAAGGATGCCGATGGTGGCAATGTCATCTCCACCTGCTGGGCACTCTTTCCTTGTTTTGTCACCCGCAGTCGTTCTTTTTTTTTTTTTTTTTTGAGCCGTCTTCTCCTCATCGGGGGACAGCTATATATGTTTGTGACGATCCATATATATGGATTTTTAAATTTTTTTTTCTCTCACCTCACATATTTTAACTGGCGTTCTGGCATGGCATCGAATGTATGTTTTTCGTTTCACGA